AAAAAAAAAAAAATAAATAAATAAAATAAACAGATTATTGCAAATATTTCAATATAAGATTACTTTCAAATTCGAAATTTTATAAATTTTAAAGCAAAATATGAAAACATTGTGTGTCTTCTCCTTTATTGGCGTAGACAGCGCTTACAGCCGGGAGGATGAAGTCGTGTGTACAAGTTCACACGAGTGAAGAAACGATTCCTTTACATCAAGCAGCTCACGACTTTTGATCTTAGACAACATCCGTTTGAAGGCGAGTTAAGGGGCGAGCCTGATATAGAAGCTTTAATAAATTACATTTTTTTTTGGCTTAAATTTCTTTAAAAATAATCTAAGAATATGTCCTCAAAGTTTTAGATGAGAATTTGAAATATTTTCGAAGCTAGAAGGAAAATAGTGACCGAGCGTCTAGCAGATATATGTATGTATGTATGAGCAATTGGGTAGAAAGCGAAAACTTTGACGTGCGATTGCTCGGTTTTTCAGTTTTAGGATTTTTTTTTAATTGGCGGGCATAGAAAAAAAAACTAAACGCCGTATGGAATTGGGGCAAAGTTTATTATCTTTGGCATTAAATTATCTTCTATTTAAACTAAAAAAAAAAATAAGAAACGTCAAGTTTGAAAATATTTTTAAACAACATAAAGTAAAAATTTTTTGGTCAAAAACCGTTTTTTTTTTAATTTTAAACAATTTCTAAAATTTTACACTTTCTTTAGAATTTTTTTAGTTCAACTAGAAATAAATTATTAAAAATATGAATCTCTTTGAATTTTTTGTTTCCGACAGAAATTGCGACCTGCATCCTGCCCGCCGTCCGACAAATGCGCATACGAAATGTATCGGGCAATTGCTTCCCAAAGGCGGAATATCAAAGATTTTGTATCCAAAAAAATTTGTGAATGATGTTTAAATGAATAACTATAAATCCTAGAAGTTTTGCTTTAATCACTTATTTCTTTCCTACCCAAAAAATCTTCAAAAAAATCGGTTTCTTGAATCCTCTAAACCAGGCTCCCCCTTAGAGGGAGAAGGTTGGAGAAAGGACCATACCTCCGCAGGGTTGTGAGCTGGGTGAAACGCCAGAAATAAAAAAGGAAACAAGTTGTATGTCAGTGAGTTTAAAAGAAAACAACAACGATGTATGTAAACTTTTAACAAACATTTGTACATATATGTAAATTTTTACGAATGTACGGTATATTTTGTCAGATGTGAAATAATGTTATTTGATGTCAGTCGGATGTTGTAATCAAACCCAGCTTTTATTTAGAAGCGTTAAGGCGTTTCTCTGAACTTTTCAAATATTTCATATTTTGCAATTGAATTTTAAAATTAGGCAAAATATTTTGAAAAAGGAATAACAAACCCTGCAGCTTGAATACACATAGTGAAGTATCCAAAAATTATTTAAAATTATTGTTAAATTAACGAGCAAGTTGACGTTTAAATAACTGTACAAATTGTAGGTTATTTTTCACTTGGGATACAAAAAATTTTACTTAATTGAAATAAGCAGCGTGTTAACTGTAATAAATTTATAACTTAACAGTAAAATTAATAGCAATCAACGAGAACGAAATTTCTGATACAATTTAAACTTTTTTTGTCTTAATTAAATTACAAAATAAATATATAAATTAACATTAGTGCTATTCATTTGCCAATTGCTGCCAACAGACGACCGATTGTGTAGAGGCTACAAGTGTCATGTGCTCAGAACAAGTTCATAAATATTCAAACAAAAGAATAACGAAAAATTATGCAACACTTTCAACTTAACTAACATTTGTTGTTGTGGGCGCGGCTATAGACACCGCTGTTGCGGCGCCTACATCCGCTTTGCACTTGTTGCCGCTGCTGTTGCCGCCAATGACGCCGCTATTGCTGCTATTGATGTTCACATTGCTGCTGCTGTTGCTACTATCCATGGACCAGTCCCAATCCTTGCCCTTCGGTCGAAATTTCGACGATTTATGATGATGGTGGTGGTGCGAGAGATTTTGCATTGTCGCCGTCGTCGCCGATGTAGTCGATGACAGACTGTTGTTGCTGTTGTGATTATGATTGAGTGTTTCCGCGGATTTAGTGTTGTTTACCTCGGAAGCGTTCTGTTGCTGTTGTTGTTGCTGACGCTTTGGCGATTTTTCAGGACTGGTTTGATGGGATTTCTTTGTCTCGCCGCCATTCGTTTTAGCAAATGATGTGGGAGCATTTTTCATTACGTTAGCCATTCCTTTGCCAACCGCATCGTTCGCTGTTGATCCCTCAATCACCGTGCTGTTGGTGGCATCATTACTGTTATTATTCGCATATGGCATCAACAGATCATCACAATCGTATTCCCAATTGCGTTCGCAGAATTTTTTCTTATAATGCTTCTCCGATGACGACTTCGATTTGCGTTGATATTTTAAGGGTATCTTTAGTGTACTATTGCCATAGGGATCGGCGGCACTCGCCGGTGGTGTTGGTGTTGGTGTCGGTGTAGGTGTGACACTATGCGCTGCCGCCATAGCTGCGGCCAAGGGTGGTGTCGGCACGGCCGCATTCGGACTGGGTGTGCGTGGCAAGCCGATATCAGAGAGCGGCGGACTATCAATGGCGCTCGCGTCAACCGGTGATGCCGAGTTCGCCTTCAGCAGCGTTATCGGCGGCATAGAAGCGACATCGGAATGCGTTGATTTCATGCTGCTATCGCTGAGGTGATCTGATGATGAAGCGTGACTGCTAGTGGTGCCGCCACCGCCGTTGCCATGCGCATGCAACAACAACGAGTGATGATGATGATGGTGGTGTAGGTGTCCATGCATGTAGCTATTGACACCGCTGCCGCCGGAGCTGGCGCTAACGCCACTTACACTACAACCGCTGGAACTGCTGGTGCTGCCAGCGCTGCTGCCGCCGCTACTCATGGGCATGTCCAGTTGTGAGGACGTCGACGAGGTGGAAAGAAATGTGCGCGCCGTATCTGAATTGCTGCTGCTGCTGTGGGTAATACCCGAATCGGGCGAGGTGTTGCAGCTGATCGACGACGGCACTATGTCCGTGTCAATAGAGCGACGCGTCTTATCCAGCTCGGTGGAGGCGAAGGCGACTAGGCGATCGAAGCCGGAGCTCACCCGATGTTGCCAGTGTGTTTCATCGTCGGCGATGACATCATCTATGTGGAAAATAAGGAAAAATGTATCAGGTTTTTTTCGAAATTTTCATACTTATAAACTAAACGATTAGATTTTTAACTGTAATTGGGTGAGTGTGGTGTTGTGATGTTTCAATGTGTGTGTTTAGCATGGAATGTGTTATGAATTATCTACATATGTAAGTAAGCAGGTTAAGGGAAGCTTTAGTCGGTTAAAATAAACGGTTTACTTATCAATTAATATTTGTTGCTATAGTTATTTAGCGTTCTTACACTATTTTATTGAACAATATTAAAAATGTAAGTTAAGTTGGCTTTAATGCCGTTTCCGACATTTAGAAACAGTTTGTAATTTTTTAACAGAGATCAATGAATAACTTTATTTTCGATTAAACCGAAGCTATAATCTTCATAAATACAAAAGTTTCCAAACAAGAAATCACTTTGAACAATAATCCGTTTCAAATTTCGTCACGATATATTGTCAAAAATAAAAAGTGTTCCATTTAAAGTCTGGATTTCAGCCGACCAGTTTTCTAGTGGTCTGATCTGAACATTTTCTTCGAATATTATACCACTACCTTGGAATAATTCATACCAAATTACGTGAAAATATCTTCTAAAGAAATGGTTACGTACAAAAACTTGGTTTTGACTGATTAGTTTGTACAGCAGCTGTGTGCTATAATGGCTCAGTTAATTACGCCTCCGACGTTTCCTTCGGGGTATTAAAACTTCGTGGCAAACTTAGTACACCCTCTTCTATGTATAAAAACCGTATGTATGGAATTTTAAAACATTCATAATTTGTTTAATTAAGTCTTTAAGCTTTTTCTAGCTTTTGTGTAATTTTTCTAGAATATACATGTGCTACACTTTTTGGGATACGAATATTAGTAATGACTTAGTATTATGTACATGTTTACATAAACGACTTGTTAATTAACTAAAAAAACTAAAAATCACAACAACAAAAGCTAAAAAGCAATCAATAACTATTTCGCAGACACTTACCAATTGTTATATAATTTGTATATTCAAATTTGATTTTCTATATCTCGCATATATACATAAGTATATATGTATGTATATGCATGTACGTATATAAGTGAATCACAATGGGGTGTGGAAAATATTTGTAAGCCCCTTTCGTCAGCTAAATTTTGAGCTTTTTATAGCCATAGCTACTGTATGGAGTAGAAATGGTATGGGAGGAATTGTTGGAAACTGGAATGTAATGTGTAGGAAAATATAAATGAGGAGATCAAATACACAGCTAATACAAAGTGCAAACGAAGTTATTCAATATAGCAGGCAAGCAGGCGGTTAAGTCTTAAGAAGATCATGTGAGTGCAAAAGTAGCAAACAGGCAGTGTGCATTTATGGAATTAGAAAACAAAAAAATAAAAAAAACAAAACAAAAATAATAAAATTAAAATAACAAAAAAATTAATAAAACAAAACAAAAATAAAAAAAATAAAAATAAAACATAAATAAAATCTTATAAACTAAATTTCAAAAATATACATCAAAAATTTATACATTTTGAAGTTTAAACATTAACATTTACTTAGTTCACGGTCCAACAATATTCGTGAAAAAATTAAAAAAAAAATAGATTATGATCTGAAATCGGAAACAAATATATCTAAAACAAGCATGTCACAAAAAAAAAAAAATACTTATTATTTTTATTGAATGAACATTTAAATTATTTTTTTTTAGTTTAACACCAAAAAATAGTTATAAAAAATAATTTTTAATCATTTAAGATTATTGAAAAATTAAAAATAAATGTATAATCCCAAATACCGGAATAAAAAATGCCATTTCAAACTACAGCTCGCACAGAGGTATGAAATTTAATACTCTTAAGCAAATGATTTATATTTTACCAATTTATAGTTCTGATTTTTTTATTAAAAATTAAATTACATTTATACATTTTTGAAATCAACAATTGAAAATCTAATTAGAATTAAAAGTTCGAAAACTAAATTTTAATCCAAATTCTGCAGTTTAAAAATTGGAAGATTAAATCCTTAACTCCGTCATTTTTTTTTTTATTAAAAAAATCAGAACACTAGTAGGAGACAATACGACCGGGTTAAGTAGTTTTAAGTTGCGTTGAAAACTGAATCCACTTTTTCAAATCTTTAATACTAAATAAATATTTATGAAAAATCTTTTATTAATAGTTTTTATATTGTTTCGAAAAGTGTTTATAACTCAAACAAATTACTCTGCAATACGTTAAAAGTTTGTCGAATTTTAACTCAGGTTTCATAAGCAGCAGTTAAACCGACTAATACTAATTATTCTAAACAATTGACGGAACGTAAAAACTCCATAAATCATATATTGTACTCTAATTATTGACGTCAGCAGCGATTTTATGTCCGTATAGAAAATGTATGGAATGGGAAATAACCTTTCTTTGACTTAGAAATGTGATTGGTAAAATTTAGAATTCTAGGATACAAAACCGCAAGTTATAACACAAAGTTATAACTTGAAATTAGCGACAAAAGTTTGAGGTTATGTAAATATTTTTTACACAGTAGTGTTCTAAGATTGTGTTTTTTTTTTTTGTTTTTTGTGTGCTTGTAAAAGCCAATGCGAGCAGCGTAAAGTTTGTATATTATTTCACAGAATATCAATTGCTCGAAGATTGAAGTACCAATATCAAACGATTGCACATTTCTAATACTTCTCAGATATGCTTAAACAACCAGACATTATTAAAACTGAAGTAAACATATTTAATTTTTTTGCTTTGTCATTTAACCTATCGCTGTCATGTTTGTCGCGAAAAATGCCGTTCCAACTATCTTAGCGCTTACGAAATACAACAATACCTAAAGTAACAACAAAAACATTCAATTGCAAGAAAAAATTTCGAAAATGGAGTAAAAGAAAACCCAACACCCAGACAGTGGAGCCCCGAAACCAAAACACCAAGGAAATTAGGCGTAGAGGGGAAAAAATAAAAAAGCGTTTATGTTGACAAAAAAATAAGTTGATTAAATTTTAATTGCGTTAAAAAATTGCGAAATTTTTTACAAACATACATATAAACCAAATATGTAGGAAAGCGTAAAAATTAGGAAAAATCATGTGTAATTTTTTTTTTTTTTTTCGAAAAACTTATGAACTAAATAAAGGCGTCTTTTTTGTGTGTTCAAAGAGTGCGACGTAAAAATTATTTATAAAAATAACAGTAAACTTATTAGTAAAAAAATGATTCTAAGCAAATATTTTTTTGCCATTTGAAAAGTGAGCTAACAAAATATACTAAAATACGCTAGATAATATGTGGCAATTACAAACACAATTGTATAAATTCAGCTTAAATGCCTAAATCTTTTATGCTACACACTAAAAGGCCATGCATGAACCTAACAACAACAATATAACAGTTACACGCAGAAACGCAGACCAAACGGCGAAGCGGAACACAAGTTGCGACACTTTCAAGTAGCGGTATTTAATACGATGGGCAATGCAGTTAGTAACAGAATTTCAAAGCACGCAGTATGCAGTTAGTATCTGTTCTTTTTATTATTATTATTATTATTGTTTTTTTTTTTGGCATTGTAGTTGTACACATGATTATGATTTGTAGTTTGCGTGGAATATTTCGTGTATTTTGTGCTGATGATGAGGTAGTAACTTATAAAACGATGCAGCACTTCGCCACATCTTTCATTACTAGTATATATGTAAGTATTATATATAAATGTAAGTGTATGTATGTTTGTATGCATGTGTTCACTATTAATGCTAACTTGATTTCGTCTTATTTCAGGTACATTTTGTTTTGAGTTCTTTCAACGCTAGTTCGTGTATGTACTATTCTCAATGCTGTTAAGTATTAAACTAAACTATGCCTGAGCCGAATGCATACAGTGCTTGATAAGATGGTCTTTGTCTTTTGCTGTGCTGGTGACTAACTTTAGATGGTACGTGGCGGTTGGTGCGTTTTTGGTAATAATTGTGTTGCAAACAGTCAATCAATTCTTACCATCATCACCGGCGCGTCCACCCACGATTGGTGTTGTACTATGCGGCGTGGTCGCTGTGCGTGATTGTTGTTCGTGTTGTAGCTGCTGCTGCTGTTGGCGCGATATTTTCGCTGCCGTAGCTGACAACTGCAAGGGGCGCTCATCGCCGCCAGCAGCAGCGCCACCGCTCATTATCGAGTTGATTTCCGGACTCATTAGCAGCGGTTCGAGTGGCAATTTCGCATTGCGTCGACAAGATGGCGACAGCGAGGACTGCGATTGTGTTTGTGCGCCTGTCGCCGATGCAATGGCGCCACTGTTGCTGCTACTGCTAACACCATTCATATTGGCGTATGGATTACTGTTGCTTAGATGGTGTTGCTGATGTTGGTGCAGTTGCTGGTTGTGCGCAACGGCATTGTCGTTGTAGTGGGCCATCTTAGCGGGTCGTGGCTGTTGATTATTTGCCATGGGCGAAGTGCGTTTTACACCGACTAAGTATTTATAGGTGAGAAAATAAAACAAACAGATTTTCAATTAATAGCCGAGTAGGGTTGGTCCAAAACGGCAAGTACTCACTTTCCACCTTATTGGGCGTGGCGTTGTTGTTGTGACCAAGTGCCGCCTGTGCTTGATAGTGGTGATGCTGGCTGTGCGCATATTGCTGTTGTTGCTGCTGATGAGGGTGTTGTTGGTGATGGTGTTGATTATGCATGTCGCTGTTGTTGCTGGACACTGCGGCAGCCCGCCGCTGGCGCTCTTCATGTTCTTCCTTGTATTTGCGCGAGGCCATAACGTGATCCTGCAGTGAAGCTGCCAGACCTACGATATGAACATGATATTTTTTTATATGTGGAAAATTATTAAGTCGGAGAATGTTATAGTGAAACATTTCGGTATATAGTGTGTACCCCGAAAATTTTAATTAAAATTATTTTTTGGAGTTCTTATCTCAAAAAAGGATTGAAAAAAATTTAATAAATAGATTTAATTCCAAAAAAATTAAAAATTAATTAGTAATACCGAAAACTGAATTTAAAATAAAAAAAAATTAATTTCTAGTTTATTATTAACAAAACAACAACAAATTGATTTTTAATTTACATTTTTTGATGCTTACGTACTGCATATGCTACTATTTAGAGCCTGCACATATCCATATTCTTCAATACTCTAGAGCACTGGTTAGCAAGCTTCCTCATTCAAACGGTTTATATTTTATAAATTTTTAAATTTTCAGTATTTACTATTTATCATAAATTTTGATCCCAAAATCAGCAAGATGTTGGGATTAAAAATTATATTTTTAATTGCGGTTCACCTAATTAGATCGCGATTACTAGAGAAAAGGTTTCGGCATGTTTATACAAAAATGCGTTCCAAACTGGGCCCATTTTCAGTATAACTGTGTTTTTTATACAAAATAAACAGTATTTTAGTGCTAAGAATTAAATTTGATAGCTGCATTTTTATCCTAAAAATTCCTTCAGTTCAATAACTTAAATAACACAAGTTCAGAAACCTCGCAAATTCCTAATAATTCCAATTCTCTTTCTAATAATTCCCACTCACCCTCCAATGGCGGATTGCTGCCGTTCAAACGATTCCCGCGTCCATTGTTGCGCTCTTTGCTGCCTGCCTTGTGCGACTGTGTTTGATGATTATGATGCTGCTGTTGCTGCTGCTGGTGTTGTTGGTGCTGCTGCTGCTGATGATGTTGCTCATCATTGAAATACGCCTCGATGCAACCCTTCATTTCGGCGCGTGGTAAGCTAACCGGCTGGTAGTCGCGACTGCGCGAGCCGCTTCCTGCACCGCCAACATTACCGCTAGCAGCAAGACGGGCATTCGTCGCTTCCCTACCATTGCTACTGCCACCACCCATCGCCATTTGCTGATAGAGTGAGGGGTTATAGCCACCGCTGCTGTTATTGACGCGTCCACTATTAGGAGGCGCTGCCGTTGCTGTGCCACCAGTCGCAGTCTTGTGATTATATGCGACATGTGCCAGCGAAGACATATTGTGTGAGGACTGCGTTGGCGTTGTCGGCGGCGACTTTCGCCCATTGCCAGCGCCAATAGTGCGTGGCGACACGTCGACAGCGTTGCCTTGCATATGTGTGGGCGGCATTTGCTCATCGAACACACGCACGTGCACGCGCTCGGGACGTTGCGCATTCGGATTAATTAGTAAACGATCGTGCGCCGCCCGGTCCATGTAATTGTTGGCACCCACGTTAGTGGCGCCGGTAATTGGTGGTGGGGCACCAACTGTGCTCATATTCACCGCCGCATTTATAATGCTCTGATGCGATATTTCAAGCGTGCGCTCGATTTCACCATTCACCAGATCGCCAATGGTCTTTGTGGATAGTGGCAAGCCAGACATAGCGCCAGCAGGCGGCATTTGTTGATTGAGTTTTTCTTGTGAGAGGTGGCGGCGTAGCGCCATCTTTGCCGGTGAGACTTGTGTATAATCTGGCTGTGATGAGTTTGAGCTTGGCCGGCTGGGTTGCGGCAACATTTGTTGGCCGCTACTGCCGCCGCTGCCACTGTTCGTATGATGGGGCGGCAACGGTTGTGAGACCGCGGATTCGCGGCTATTGCTGCGTTCTAGCGACATTAGGCGATCGCGCGTCGGTGGGTAGTACATAATGGCCGAATCAGAGTTGGCCGAACTGGAACGTGGTGCGACCACCACCTCTTCGACGAGTTGTTCGCGACTGTTGGAACGTTGCGACGCATTCAATATGAGATTTTCTGCGGTAACGGTGGGCGCTTTGAATTCGAGTGGTGGCATTAGATGTTGGTGATTGGCGCTGGCGTGGTGTTGTGATGACGCGCTGCCCGCTGCAGCTGCTGCGGCAGCCATCATCATTGCTTGCTGATGCTGTTGTTGCTGCTGTGCAGCGTAATGTTCGAAACTGGCTGCGCTTACAGAGCTGCGACGGCGGTGATGGAAGGCCAGATCGGCTGGTGAAGTGCCAGCACCCACGGCCGGGCCGAAGTGTGCGTGTTGTTGTTGTAAGTGTGTCAGGTGTTGTTGTTGTTGCTGCTGCTGTAAGTGCGCATTATTTTGTTGTTGCTGGTATTTGGCAGCGCTGCCTTTATGGCTGCCAGACGCAGCGGAAGACTGTTGCTTGCTGCCACCATATTTTCCGGCGCCCACACCGGTGCTGCCATATTGGCTGTTGCCAATGGACGGCGGTGGTGTTATTGGTGATATGGTGGTGGTAGCATTCAAATGTGTAGGGCCTTGAGTGGCAACGGTAATGAGGTTGCTTAGATTGTTTTGCGGCATGGCCTGTGGTGGTAGAGGCGGCAAATGATTATGATGTGGGTGTTGTTGGTGATGCATTTGCATTTGCTGGTGTGGATGTGCCTGCTGATTTATATTGTTCATAGAAGACGCTGACACAGAGTGTTTACTGCGTTTTGGCGCTGGCGATGATTGAAGCGAACCCGATTGTTGCGCCACTAACGACTGTGTTGATGAGTGAATGCTCAAGTCGTGGCCGGCTGATGAGCCGGGCATATGATGCGCGGCAGCTTTGCGATGTTCTTGATCCTCATTCAACGCAGAGGTTATGATACTCTTAAGGCGATCTTCGAAGTTGGCCACTTTAGGTGATTCCTGTATGCCACCGGACGCAGCGGCGGACATTGACGATTTGCGCGCGCCAGGCAACTCACATTTTGGCAGTAAGCCGGCAACACCACGCAATCCGTTACCATTTACGGGAGAGGATTGCTGTTGCGGCTGCTGCTTATTGGCTGCTGTAGGCGCCGGCATCAGGTTACTGTCGGCCACATAAATAGACACCGACGGTATGTGTTCGTTGCTCGAACTGCGCGCATGCTGTTTCTTCTTTGACTGTGTCGTCAGAACCTCGTCATGATATTGCCCTATATTGTTATTGTTGAGATGCTGGTGATGCGCAGTTGTCGGCAAGGCCAGTTGCTTACCACTGGCAATGCCAGCACCGGCCATAGCGTTGTTGTACGAATTTCCTGTGCCAGTCGCGGCTGAAAATTTACCCGCTTCGATCTGACGCCCTGTCTCCAGTATCTTTTGTGCTAACACCTCTGGATTACTTTCCTCTATTTTGCCTACGTCCGGTACATCAGGCCACTCCTGCGAACGCGTACGATGATCGCGACTACGACGCGATGTTTTTGATGTCGCGTTTGTCACGGATTTACTTGGAGTTGCGGGTGCACAACTCGATACTGCATTACCCCCTGCCGACGCGCCACTTGTTGTCGTCAACTGGAGCGGTTGTGTGACGCCGCTTGTACCTGCCGATATCAGCGTGGCGGGCATCATTGTTGGCGCACCACTTGATACTGCTGTTGTGTTGGCTAATGTCATATTGGTGCCCTGCGCAAGTAGCGCTGCTGCTGTGCGTCGCTCTTCGGCTGCTTTCTCCAAGAGCGCAGCCTCTTTTTCAATACTTGACACTTGCGCGTATAACTTTTTGCGTTGCGCCAATGTATTGGCAATCTCCTTCAGCACCAATTCGTGCGCAGCAGTTTCGCTCAGATCGATTGGGTTGCCGCCATTCGGCAGCTCAACCTTGGTGCGTCCATTATTGCCACAAGTCTTCTGATATTCCGGTAAATGCTGTAGGTGCTTCTTCAACAAACGTTTCTGCTCCAATTCACAGGTCGTCACCTGCGATTGTATTTTCTTTGCTATACCTTGCAACTCCTTATGTCGACCGACAATCTCTTTAGCCTTTGTGATCAGATCATTGGGAGAGGTGACATTGATGCCCAACTCATTCATGCGCGCCTTCAGCAGCATTACGCTGTCATCAATCAGCACCTTGATCTGCTTGTCCAGCTGACTGGCGCGATTCTTAATGCGTTGTTTGCGCTCTTGTTCTAATTGTATTTGACGCTTAATGTTTGGCACAAACGATTTCGCCTTCATCTGCTCGATCATGGCCATGTATTGCGTACGGAAGACATCCAATAAAATTTGTAGCGCGTAAGGCGTATCCTGGGGCGCCTCCGGAATTTCCAGCTCCGTATGTGTCATATTGCGCGTGAGCAACGACGTCAGCTGTTGATCCACACAGCCCGGCGCTGCTGGCAATTTTTTGCTCAACACCTCGTGCGACGTGCTCAACAACGTCTGCTTGTGCAGCACATCCAAACCAGCAATCTTTAACGATTTGCGTCCGCGTGCACCCTTCTTCATGCGACCTTTGCGACCGCGCGCGCCCCCACCACCACTACCAGCGCCAGCATCCTCCTTCGACGAGGAGTCCTTGCTGTTCGCCGCAGCGGCTGCCATCGCGGCCTCTTGCGCTGCCGCCTCACGAGCAGCAGCTGCCGCTTCACGTTGCGCTGCCGCTGCAGCTGCACTCTTGCTGGCAATTGCCGCCTTGCGCGTAAGCTTTTTGCGCTTTTTCTGTGGAACGGTGCGTGCATTACGCGCCGTCGCCGTGACGGTATTTCTAAAGTTATTATTATTCTCCTCATCGTCGGATTGCGACGACTTGCCCTTCGAGCTGCTGCACCAGTCGGACCAGATTTTGCGTGTGGTCGGTCCGTTGGCGGTGCCGCCGGTTGCGCTGCCATTCGCCACGTCGCCTTCAGCTTCGCTCTCTGTCGATGTGTCCATGTCCAAATTGTTGCGTTGTGCTTGCTGCTGTTGCTGTTGTTGATTTCTCGTAGTCTTGGACGTTGCAGCCGACGTCGTCGTCGTTGGTGCTGTTGCGTTTGACTGTTGCGCTTGACTGCTGTTGTTGCTGACATGCGCCGCCGGCGAATTAGTGCGTTGCGTGCTGTTGCTGCTGCTGCTGTTGCTGTTTGTTGTGTTCGTAGACGACGAATTGGCGGCGGAGGAGTTTGAGTGCGTATTACTGTTGCTGTTGTTGTTATGATGATGATGATTGTGGTGATTATTGAGCGCGTGATTATGCGCCTCACGTTTGGCACGATCGCGTGTGGTGCGTGTGGAGCCTTTAAAGAAAGAAGCAAAGAGAAACGGAATTGCAATTAGTAAAGGATTTCAGTATGGCGTCGATGGCAGGCGAAAGCGGACATAAATATCAATACGAAAAATGTACACGACATCGAAAAAAAAATTACGTTTCAAGGCGCGCAAGAAGGAGTCAAAAAAAGAGATAACAAAAAATAGAATTAAAATAAAAAAACATAGCAAAAATGCCTTGAGGAGCAAAAATGAGGGGATGGATTTTTCATGAATTTCGAATGCAAAGAATTGGTTTTGGCTCGTGACTGTTGCATGAATTTGCTGAGTGTCCCCTGTGCATACACGCAGATATGCTTGTGTATTTTCCTTTTTCTGCACAATTGATTAGTGTGTGGTGTACTTTTGGCATTAAACATATTTTTCGTTATTGTTTTTATAAACATTTTCGTATAATTATTTCTTTCTACGCTTTTATTTTATTATTATTTCAGATGTTTTCCAACTAAACCATTTCGTTTTTAGTTAATTAATATTTTATTTTGGTTAATTCGCTTTCGTTTACTCCCTTATTGCTTGCTCGTACTTGTTCCGACAGTAGTATTAACCATTGAGGCAACCACACTGTTGGATTTTTCATAATTATGGCGTTATTTTTACTTACCGACATGATCGTTTTCAGCACCTTTTTGTGTTTTCAAGCGTTGAAAATAACGCTCCAATATCGTACGATCGATCGTATGCAAATAGTACGATACTGGTTTACAGGTCCACGAGACCGAACCCTTTAGTGGTGGTATTTCGCTCACATGCATTATGGTGCCGATGTCGCTAAGGTTTCTGTGAATATAAAGAACAAAGAAAAATTAACAATTAGAGTTGAACCAAACTTTTTGAATGAATACAAAAATACTCGTATTGATAGAATACCATTATTTTCAAGAAACCGACGCACTTGAATGCTCTTCTACAACATTTTGCGCCAATTTCTATACAGCAGATCAATGAACTCTAACAACTAGTGCCAAAGCTAAAAATCTTGTGTTTTAACTTTTTACTTTGAAACACCCAAAAGCTTTTATTTATAATACTAACAAACGAGTTTGAACACTTACCTATCGGTAATGCGGAAATTCAGCGGACAAAACGATTTCGAAGACACAATGCGTGCACCGTCACGTAAATCGGCGAAACGTTCCTTCAACTGATGATCCACATTCGGACCAAATGCGAAATTATTTACGAACACTAACGACGATGAGGTAATTTTCTCACGATGTTCATCGACCAAAAAATCGCCTTTTATCAACTTGTAATCGCAATAGCGTTTGCCGAACCACGCCATAAATTGACGAAAAAACATATCCATACGTTCGGCATAACGTGCGGGCGTATCGGCTTTTTCAATGCCCACGCATGCTTTGAGCGGAAATGAGCCAGCCATTTGTAATACCACCTGGCCCACACCGGAGCCGAGATCAATGAATGTGTCATCGTTTGTCACATTCACATGCTTGATCATCTGTTGGACGAGTTCGTATGAGGTTTCGCCATACACTTCGGGCGAGAATGGTTCGTAATTGTTGAGTTTATCCGGATCGAGTACGGCAGCATTATAAACTAATTGCAGTATATGTCTGAGTAAGCTGGGATGAGCGAATTTGTTAAGACGCTCAGCGGGCAGTGAAGTTCCTTTTTCCTGTGTAGCAGAAAGAGGGAAATAGATAGATTAAGTATTAGTTTTAGTTTCAGAGTATGTATTAAACTGTTATAAACAAACGGACATTACTTTTTTTTATGTTACTAAGAGTAATTATATAATATGTTTACAACCATTGGTTTATAAATAATGGGAAAATGTTACTTTGGTAATTTTAGAACTATCTAAAAACTACAAAACAATCGGATTTAACCTAACTTTTTAATTATAAACTATGTAATTGTAATTTAGTATCAAATATTTATAGCAAACATAAAATTTAAAGTCTAGCAGAGCACAGTTCTTGGTCCACTATCTATCTTAGAGAATAAACGACTTCTTATATCGAGTTTGGGGCGCTTACATTTTATATTATAAATTTCAAAATTTTTTTATTTAGATTGTTAAACAAAAATATATGCAGGAAAAATTCGGAACTAACCAATTTTTTTGTTCAAAAACCTCCGAATGAAGTGAAACATATCTATTTGAGATTAAGATAATGATAATCGTAAAAGTTATAAAATACAAATATGACACTAAGTTCTTATTTAAGTCTCGCGCTAAGGGAACCGTTATTGTTATTGCGGATGTTAGTACTTAACCTAGCATTTCCGACTTCTGACTTATTAACTGTAAGTACTATATCTTTCTTCTTCTCCTCGTTATTCGAATTCAATGGACAGACTCAAATATTATATATTAATAAGAAGCGATATATAGCAGATATAACGAATTTTCGTATCTAACCAAAGTTTTGACGAGAATCGCGTTCTAATTCAATATATGTTGTAAACACTCTATGAATCATGAATACTTATCTAAACGCTTGCACTACTCACCAATGCAACAATACTGTCAACAGCCTTGTTGAATCGATCGACAAGATTTGTCATAGTCTTGTAGCAGGCAGTGTCAATTTGATTGAGATTAATCTCTTCGAATGCGGATGAGATGCTCGGCAATTCTTCGCACACGAATTTGATCGTGTCGATAATATCGATGCCATTGTCGTGCTTGTCCTGGCCGCTGCCAACTTGTAGGGGCCAAGCGAAGGTGATGACTTCGGAGGAGCCAGCAGGAGAACGCAACACCAAATCCTTGACTTGCGGTGTTGCCATATTGCGTTACTTTCGAGCGCTGCAATGTTGTAGTCGTTGGCGGCCGTCACACAGCCAGCCAATCAGCTAGGCAGCTTCTGGGCAGTAATTGTTATGGTTGTTGTTATGATGATTTTGATGTTTTCTACGGTTAATTTTATTTCCTATTTTATATTATATTGATTACGTTAAAATGCGTTTTAGATGAGAGTGTGTGTGTGTGTGAGTTGTACGAGCGGGCTGTTGGACTATTGGGCGTGCGGGCGTACGGGTGCGTTGGTACAGCGATGGGCGCGTGTCAGTCGACGGTGCCTGACCTCAATTAACCACTCACGTTGTGAACTGCCTGCCAACTTGCCAATACCTGCACCGTCTACGACAATCAACACCAACGACAATACCGACGGCACACCGCCACCAACACCACCAAGAAGGCAATAATGTTGTCGGCGAGCACACAGCCTGGCGACAAAAAGCAAAGCCCTCCAGTTATTGTTGTTGTTGTTGCGAAGCGGCACACAGCGCTAGGATGCACCTGAGGAGGAGCAGTGTTACAGGGTGTGTCGGCTGCAAGTTAATTATTGCGCAGTGGATTAAATTTTTAGCGTTTCGGAAAGTGCTCAGGACCAGACGAAGTTATGGTGTTTTTTGGTGGGTGGTGGTGTTGCAGCGTTTGCGCAAACACGCTCGCGTTTAACTGGTGGAAATGGCGCTCACACGATCTCTTTTTCTCTCACAAGGCTGTACTGTTGAACAACAGCTCGGATGTTTTCGTTGCTGATCATATGATCACCGATCGCTGACGAACGCTTGTGTAATGTGCTGATTTCTTATATTGCTGTTGTTTTGATGATCTTATCGTTGTAATTTGTACTTTTTTCTAAATTTTTACTTATTACACTCTTTAAAACTATTTTTGTTTTTTGTTTCACTTCAATTCATTTTCCTTACGATATAATTGTTTTTATATGTATGTGTATTATTTCCTCAACTTTTCTGGTGTGTCAACACAATTATGCGTAGATGTGTGTGTGTGGGTGTGTGTGCAGGTGTTCTTTACTGTTGTATGGAATCGAGTGATTGGTGGTGGTGATATTGAGGATCTGTTTCGTTGGTTAATGCTAATGAGAGTAGAAAGTAAAACACACATTTAGAGGTTATATGCTTACAACAGCAAAAAATTAAAATACAAATAAAAAAAGATAGAAAATAGTTTATGAAAATTTCTGTTGCAGCGTCATAACAACAACAATAAGAGCAGTTATTAAGCTATGAAAGCTGTTTGGAGTTAGATGAAAGAGCAGCGAACGTGTGTGGCATGATTTCCAGCGCTTAGGCGAGTATAAAAACAATTTTTTAATAAGTCTAAACTCTTATTTAGCAGTCACAAGAATGGAAGTATTACGCAAAGCCTTAATTTCGGTTTTTGTTTTTTTGTACATAATGTTTGAAAGTGTCATATCTCTCGCAAAAAAGTTTAAATTTATTTTTTGTAGGAAATCTACGTATTTGAATATGCTAATAGAGAAAGAAAGTGTATTCTTCAAGTTTTAATGGATCTGCATGAGAACTAGTACTGTTTGTATTTTTATATAAAAGTTAAGCTGCTAAGATTAGTAATATTTTGACCACATAGGCGGCAGCTTTTGAATATCCCAAAATCGACCGCTATTTGTATATTTTAAATTAGAAAAAGTTTTCAAGATAACTTTATTAGCTATGGATCACTATTTGCTTAGTTCTCTGTTTGTTTGCCGCACAATACAAGATCCAAGGCTATCACTCGCTCGCTTGTCTCAAGCTAAACACGTGCTCACTCTTTCCACCCTTCTCGTCAACTAAATTTTGGTGACTATCAGTAAGTGTGTAATAATATTGGTCGTTTGTTCGGATTATATTGATGCGATTGAATGCCGATGATGACGATTTGACTTTGGCGGCAAATGAAGCAACAGCGTTGCTTTAATAAAAAAGTCCGTTTTGTTGCTTTAAACACGAAAATTTCTACATTTGTAAATTAATTTATTTTTATTCATTTGAACGCAATTAACAATTCTTTCTGTCGCTGTTTGACATGCGTGTGTATGTGTATGTGAATTTACGAAAAAATTTTCAGCACATTCAAATTTATTTAGCACAATATGATCGAGTTATGCGGAATTGATTTCAACTGTTTTTCATCTTCTTCATTTGCAATATTTTTAATACGTTTTTACGAGAAGTTCGAGTAATTGCAAAGTAGTCTGTAAAAGAAAGAAACAGAAAGGGTGAACATAAATAAATAAGGTATAAAATAATTTTTAAGAAATATATGCATGTTTTCATATGTATGGATGTGATTTATGAATGGTAGTAATATGAATAAAATATTTTATATGAATAAATATTGAGATATGAAGACAGATTAGCAAGCGCAGAGAAGTTAATGCGAGTGTGACGAAAGGACATATATAAGTGTGAGAGAAGAAAAATGTGGTAAAATTTATATTTTCAATAAAAAATATTTATAGGTATATATAATAGTACCAAATTTAGTTAATACAAAAAAAATATATATACATACATATGTATTATTTGTGAAGAAAACGAAATAAAAACATATAAAAAAATTAAAAAAGATCTAAAAAAAATAGTCTCATAAAAATAGAAACCAAAGGAAAGAAATATAAAAGAGAACAATAGTTTTTAAATAAAATAAAATAAAAAAATAAAAATAAAAAAATTTTTAAAAAATAAAAAAAAAATTAAAAAAAAAATAAAAAATGTTTTGTTTGAAAAATATCAGTTATACTGCATAAAATTAAACTTCAACACTGAAAAAGTACTAAGCACTAATATTAATATAAAATTTTAAATTCATAAAAATTCAAAAAATATTTTCATTAAAAAGCATGTATTTTAAAATAATTTCATCACCAACTCTTAAGGGATTTTATACAGTTTTCAAAGAAATCGATGTTTTTAATTATGTTCTTAATGTATGTACATATAGTATTTAGGATTACACACAGTAAAATTCATAACGTTCCGGTGAATATTTTCGAAGTTATACGCAAATTTGAAAAGCCGTTTCAGAGTGCCTGGAAGAGCGTTCCAAAATTAAAACGCGTTTGTCTCAAAATGCTGTATTCAAAAACGGTGACCAACATTACTCGAAAACGGCTAAACCGATTAGTCTCAAATTTCAACATGAGCTTCTGAAATATATTCGTATCAATTGAAATTTTTTTTTTTATATAATTTAGGCCGAAATTTTGGTCAAAAATCGAGTTTTTTTTAGAAACCGCCATTTTGTCAAAAAAATTTATTTTGATTATCCCTCCAATTAATTACTAGATTTAACATTACTTTAACGAAATCTGTTTTTTTTTTTTTGTTTTTTTGTAATTTCAGAGGAGTCAGTTCAGAGATATGGTGGTCATCGAGAGGAGTCCCGAGAAGCTCAAGCAGCGATATTAAGTGAATATTATTTATCATTAAAAAATTCACTACAAAAAAATCTTGTCTTAAAAGGTAAGTTTAAAATATTGAACAACGAAAGCCTGAAAAAATTGCAATTTAATCAACACACATAAGAACTCTTCAAAATTTAACTACTATCAGCAAAATTAAGATTCATTAAACTTGCGCGAAGCATTTAATTTGCTCAATTTCGAATAATTACGCATTATTCAAGGACCTCAAACACACAACATTCAAATGTACATATTTATATTTATGCGTGTGGGCCGCCAGACATGAGACAAATAAATTAGCAATAAACGAATGGAAATAAATGAGCGACCGAGCACAAATGTCAAGCAAAATCCTCTGAATTACTGCTGCGAGACCAGACCAGACCAGACCAGGACAACGCACGCACGCACACACTCACATAAGCTTACATAAGCCATGTCGAACGCGCACAAATGATTGTTGTTGTGGAAAATTTTTGGAAATGAAAATGGGAAATATGCGAACCAACATATGTACACTAATTGTATATATGCTTGTATGTATTAAGGTACATAATTTAGCCCATAGAGCGCAATTGATTGGGAGCAATGCGCCAACACTTAGAAATTGTAGCAATACGTGACTGCACACATACTTATTGTATGTGTATATTTGTTATGCGCTTATAAATATTTATGGCATTTCTATTGATTGGTGCAGCATCATTACTCATACATATATGTATACACACATACATATGTATGTACATTCATAGCAAAGTATATAAATTGCGATAAATTTGCATAACTGCGTTCCAGGATGTGTGTATGACACAAACATATGTTTCACATGCATCCTAATTGCATGAGTTCCATATGCATGCATGTATTTGGAAATTTGATTACATCAGTATACCCGAAATGCAAAGCAAACAGACCGATCTATCAAATACCTGGGCTGCAAAGGCAATGGAAAACATTACTTTTTATTTAATTTACGCTCCCAACGCAGACGACTGTGCGCCGCAAATACATATATACATATTTGTATACATATGTGTATTACATACATATGTATAAAAGTGAGTATATTAATATAACAAATCAAATTTGAATGGCATTATTGGGATGGCTTTGCTGCCGAATTCCGAAGCGTTTAAATTTGATAATAATTTTAATGGCATAGCTAGGGCAAAGTACGTTTTGCATTGTTTATTATCACTGAAAATATTTTAAGGAACTTACAAATAATCTTTAAAGCAGCAAAAATTTTAGAAATATGATGCAAATTGATTTAATTACTTCATAAAATTGTTTCAAAAAGTCTTCAAATTCCATTTTTTTTCTTTAAACACAGTCAGCAGTTATTACTGTTAGATTTTATAATTTAATTAAATAATTAATTCGTTTCCTGCCTTTGTTTTAAAGATAATTATAAATGTATATTATATAATATAAACATTAATTATTCAAGCACATAAAAATTTAATTAAGAATTGAGCACAAATAAAAAAAAAAACAGTACATAGCAGCTGGTTAAAATGTCAAATACCTTTAAAAAGTTAATATTTTTCGTTACAAATTAGTTTTTACATTTCATATATGGAGGGGTAGCAACTTCGCTAATATATTATTATTTAACAAAACGCCTAATTATAGGCTATAATTAATTTTCTTTTGGAAGTGGAAAGTATTATGTTTAAAAGAAAAAAAGTTAATATTTTTCGTTACAAATTAATTTTTACATTTCATATATGGAGCGGTAAGCAACTTCGCTAATATATTATTTAACAAAACGCCTAATTATAGGCTATAATTAATTTTCTTATGGAAGTGGAAAGTATTATGTTTAAAAGTAAAATATGTAATGTGAAAAGCAAAAGTGAAAGGCATTCAAAAAGGCAGACAAAGTAAACAAACGAAAAAGAATAATGAATGTTTAAGGAAGAGCTAAGATCGGTTGCAATCAAACATTTTATACTTTCGCAAATTTCAGGGGTCAAAGCCGGGAAATTTATTTTCGAATGGCAAAAGTATATCTGAACGGTTGACCTATATTTTCGGTAAGCAATAGGAGCTGGGGTTCACATATTCGATATCTGGGAGCTTATATAGTTTTGCTCCGACTTGAGCAATTTTTGGTCATAAGGCTACACACCGCCCTATTGGTGCGAAGTTTTATCCGGATACATTATTTGACGCTTGATTTGTATACAGGAAAGTGAAGAAAACAGATGGAATTTAAAATTTTGTTGTACGGGAAGTAAGTTTGGTTGTAGTCCAATTTCGCCCATTTTCTCACTCGAATGTAGAAATGTTAGGATTTGGTTGAAATCGCACTAGTAGATTCTGAAGTATGAGTTTTCACCTAAATGTGGGCAGTGTACGCTTATCGTCTTATTTTGACCCCGTCTCTTGTTTTGAAGCCCTCTCGGGTGTAAATCTTCATGTTTCTGGTGTATTTAGTGGACGATTTAGCCTGCTTTTAGTAGTTTTAACAGAATTGTTATATGGAAAGCGAGCGATATCAAAAAGTGATATTTTTAAATCTGCCCGGAGTAAATAACGACAAAGAAAAACACACAATTCTTACTTATAACTTAAGCACATACTAGAAAAGTTTTCAAATTACCACAATAGGTGTGTGACTTTGCTAAAATATAAGCTAGATATTATTATTAAGCAAT